CAGAAAAATGCTCAGACACATTTTTTTTTTGAGATTCTTTTTTTTTGCTCTTTTTGCCCAGGCTGGAGCGCAATGGTATGAACTTGGCTTACCGCAACCTCCACCTCCCAGGTTCAAGTGATTCTCCTGCCTCAGTCTCCTGAATAGCTGGGACTACAGGCATACATCACCACGCCTGGCTAATTTTGTATTTTTAGTAGAGGTGGGGTTTCTCCATGAAGCCAGGCTCCCCTCAAACTCCCCACCTCAGGTGATCCACCCACCTTAGCCTCTTAAAGTGCTGGGATTACAGGCATGAGCCACCGCGCCCAGCTGCTCAGACACATTTTGCACTGACTTCAGGAGGCTCTCAGGCCTCAGCCATCCATCTGTGGATGTCAGAAGGAGAACCTTAGTAAAGTCAAAGAGGGGAAATGACTTAACTGCTTCCACCACCAGTAAATAATAGAACTGAGGCCAGAGCCAGCGCTCCTAAGTCACAGTCCTATCAATTTATCAGATTATATCTCGTGCCTGGCATCTGTCAAAGCCTTGCTTTATTTCAAGGCCCGGCTGCATTTCACCTCCTGGGAAGCCTCCCTTCTTCCTTTAGCCTCAGGCATCTTTTTCCTTCTCCAAATTTCAGATGACTTTGCTTCTAGAAGCCTTACTCTCCGGTAAACTTGGAGGGTGAACGTAACAAAGACGAGATGCGATTAGTTGTTTCTGAATCTGAAAAGGAAAGCGAAAACGGGGCTATCATCAAACTGACTATGTTAGCATATTTTAAAACCAAAGCTTCCTAGCTCGGTATGGTGGTGTGGGCCTGTGGTCCTAGCTACTCGGGAGGCTTAGGCGGGAGGATTGCTTGAGCTATGATCACACCACTGCACTCAGCCTGGGCAACAGAGCGAGACCCTGTCATAATAATAGCAACTGGTATTAATTGGTTGCCTGTATTAGATATAGTGAACCCCAAGTTTCTCTTCAAAGAATCAGTATGTCAGCATGTTCAGCTCTCTTATTCTTTAATTCTCTATTTTAATTTCCTTGTAATTCCAGTAAACAACCTTTTTCACCAGTTCTAATCAGTAGTTCATATCTGTTCCCCCAGCCCCCAGCTCTGTCCTGACTTATCCCGGACACCTGTTCTAGTCACCTGCCCCAGTCGCCTGCTTTGACCTAGGTGATCACCCCTGGCTACCTGCTCTGACCCACCTGTAACTTTCCTTCCTACCAAGCCACCCACCCTGCCACTCCAGCTTAGACCCCTGCTTACTTTAAAGTAGCCAACTGGGATTAGTCTAGCTTGTGCGGTCTAACCCTAGCCAATAGGGGAACGACACAGCAGTAGGAGTGACCCCCGTCAGGCATAAGTACCCCTTTTCCTCCCTTGTCCAAATGTGCGGTCACCATTGTTACATCTGTGAGCCACACGCTTCTAGAAGTAAATTGCCTTGCTGAGGAAATTTATATTCAAGTGCTACTTCTTTTGTGGCATCGAAAATTCTACTTATAACACCTGTTAATCTACTTGGCTCTCAACTGATCATCTACATACATAATCTCTTTTTCTTTTTTTTTGAGATAGAGGCTTGCTCTGTTGCCCAGGCTGGAGTTCTGTGGCTTAATCTCAGCTCACTTCAACCTCTGCCTCCCAGGTTCAAGCAATTCTCCTGCCTTAACCTCCTGAGTAGCTGGGATTACAGGCGTGTGCCACCACACCCAGCTAATTTTTGTATTTTTAGTAGAGATGGGGTTTTATCATGTTGGTCGGGCTGGTCTCAAACTCCTGACCTCCCTGTCTTGGCCTCCCAAAGTGCTGAGATTATGGGCATGAGCCACCGCAACCCGCCAATATATGCATGATCTCAAATCTTTATTTATTTATTTTGTTTTAAAATAAAGCATCTCACTATGTTGGCCAGGCCAGTCTCAAAATGGTCTCAAACTCGGCCGGGCGCGGTGGCTCAAGCCTGTAATCCCAGCACTTTGGGAGGCCGAGGCGGGTGGATCACAAGGTCAAGAGATCGAGACCATCCTGGTCAACATGGTGAAACCCCGTCTCTACTAAAAATACAAAAAATTAGCTGGGCATGGTGGTGCGTGCCTGTAATCCCAACTACTCAGGAGGCTGAGGCAGGAGAATTGCCTGAACCCAGGAGGCGGAGGTTGCAGTGAGCTGAGATCGGGCCATTGCACTCCAGGCTGGGTAACAAGAGTGAAACTCCGTCTCAAAAAAAAAAAAAAAAAAAAAAAAAAAATGGTCTCAAACTCCTGGCCTCAAGTTATCCTCTTGCCTTGGCCTCCCAAAGCACTGGGATTACAGTTGTGAGCCACTACACCTAACCAATCTCCAATCTTTCTTCTTCTTTCTTTTCTCTCTCTCTCTCTCTTTTTTTTTTTTTTTCTTTTTTGGCAGAGTCTCACTCTGTTGCCCAGGCTGGAGCACAGTGGTGTGATGACGGCTCACTGCAGCCTCAACCTCCTGAGCTCAAGCAATTTGCCCACCTCAGCCTCCCGAGTAGCTGGGACTATGGGTGTGCACCACATGCCCAGCTAATTTTTGTATTTTTAATAGAGACAGGGTTTCACCATGTGGGCCAAGCTGGTCTTGAACTCCTGACCTCATGATCCACCCACCTTGGCCTCCCAAAGTACTGGGATTATAGGCATGAGCCACCGTGACTAGTCAGGCCTCCAACTTTTAAATCAAATGTTTGATTATTCCCATTTTACAGATAAGGAAACCAAGTCTCAGAGAGGCTGACTTGGTCTAGGATGTCCTTGGCCGATGAGGGACTAGGATGTCCCTGATCCTGACAGAACCAGGATTCAAGCCCAAGATCCTTTGGAGCTGAAGTCTATGCTATGTTGTCTCCGTTGAGAATCAGAATTGCCCAAGGCAAGCAGACACAAAGTACAAAGATCCAGCAGGCCACCAGGGGTCTGATGCTATCATGCACCATCAGTCTATACTCCCATTCCACATACCTGAGGAGACACTATAATTTGCCTGACCTGTCTGATCTCAGAGGTGGAGTGTGCTGCTCAGCTGTGCAGATAACTGTTAGGGTGACAGAGCTGTCCCCAGGGTCAAGGACTGTTAGTCTGGTTTATGTATCAGACGCTTGTTTGTTCAGGAGTCTCACCCTGAAAACTTTCTTCTTCTCTTTGGGCCAGGTAAACCAAGATCCTTAGACCCCAGTATCTTCATCAAGACTGTGACACCCTATGAAGACACTGCACAGTTGGCCTCTGGCTCCCACAGTGACATCTATCCCAATCCTTAGGGCAGTGGACTGAGAACACACTTGGTTCAGGCTGGATGTTTGTGTCTTAAATGTCCTTGGACACAAGTGGGCTGGGAATTAGGGCCTGCGAATCTTTAGGTTTTCCGGAGATTCCCATTATAAGGTATGATCCTGTCTTCAGAGTTTCTTTATCCTATTAGGAGTTCGACTGAGTCCTAATACGATGCCATGGGCCTATATCTGCTCCACAACCCAGAGCCCCCATAAGTGTAGTTACTGGTCCCTTCCCCGTCCCACTCCCCTTCCTCCTCCCCCTCCCCCTCCCCCTCCTCCTCCTCTTCCTCCTCCTTCTTCTCCTTATCCCTCTCCTTCCTCTTCTCTTTCTCCTCCTTCTTCTTCTTAAAAAAAGAGCAACAAAATATTTTTCTTAAGCAATCTAGCTTTAAAATGTCTGGAGGAAAAGATGCTAAGGTCCAACTCCCAGCTCTATCCCTTAGCTGTACTGACTGTGAGATCCTGCTGAGCACCAGGCCTTGGTATCGTCATTCAGAAGGTGGGAGACTAACAGCCCCTTGGTCCTAGGCTGTTGTAAGAATGAGAGGCGGGCAGGGAGGAGCTGCGCCTGGCACCAAGCCTGCTGTGTGCCAGTCAGGATGCCATCCTCAGGAACCACAGGTGGAGGAGGCGGCAGGTGAATGATGGTGTTGGGGCGAGTTCTTTCCCTTTTATTTATTAAGAAGGGGAGGAGGTTTCCCCACGTGGAGAAAGAAACTGTCCCAGAGCCTGTGCATCCCAGGGGACCCTTGTTCTCCAACCTCCCCTCTCCTAGCCCCACCCCTGCTGTGGGCCTATATCTGCTCTGCAACCCAGAGCCCCCCAAAGTGTAGTTACCTGGCATCCCCATCCCCATGGTGGCCTTACGCCAGTGCTTGTAGCAGGACAAGGGGGCTGCCGAGGCTGGAGTGATGTCAACACTGGAGCAGGAGAGAGACCCCCAGTCCACTGCCACTAGCCCTGCCAACAGCAGCTGCCAAGGAGTGTGCTGTGCTGGCTGTGGGCTGGGCTCTTGCTTCCCCTGGTCTGCCCACAGCCCAGGTGCTCCCAGCACCCCCACAGTCCCTCCTCTCCCCCCCGCCCCACCCAACTGCTGAACCAATGTCTGACAACACTTCAGACCCAAGATGATGGAACACCTCCCCTGCATCCCAGCGGGGGCTGTTCCTGGACTCAGAGGCTGTGGTCTACAGAAAAGGCCTTGATAGGAGCCAGAGCTGGTTCCTAGTCCCCACCTACCACAGAAAAGCCTACGGGACCTTGGGCAAGGCACTGTCCCCTTCCGATTGTGCTGTCCCCATCACCAATGGGACTGTGAGAGCCAGGGGGCAGGTCATCCAGGCCCCAAGCCATGGTGGCACAGCGGCCCTGGAGGCTAGTGCTCCTGGTGCTGGGTGTCCCAGATGATGCTGGGCATTTGCGTGGGCTCTCTCTGGCCCTGCAAGGAGTGAAGGCAAGGGCTGGGAGCCTACTGGGTGCTGAGTTCTGTGCCCTCCACGTGCTCCACCTCATTTAACCTTCACTGAGCCCATGGGTCCGGTGTGAATAAGCGGGCTGGCTCTTCCAGGCCCCATGGTCAGACAGCCTGGGCTCATATCCCAGCTCCACCATGGACTAGCTGAGTGACCCGGACAAAATACTGACCTTCTCTATGCCTCAATTTCCCCGTGTATAAAATGAGGCCAACACAATACCTTTCTTTTTTTTTTTTTTTTTTTTTTGGAACGCTTCATGCATTTGTGTGTCATCCTTGCACAGGGGCCATGTTAATCTCTGTATCGTTCCAATTTTAGTATATGTGCTGCCGAAGCAAGCACCACAGTACCTTTCTTGTGGAGTAGTTGTGACAGATTGAATGAATCATGTAAAGTGGGTAGAACAGTGCCTGGCACAAGTTAAGTCCATAACAAGCTTGGCTGTTATTATTATTAATCCCATTGTATAAGGAAATCAGGGCTCGGAGAAGCTAAGTGGCTTGCCCAAGGACACGCAGCTAGAAAATGGTGGGGAGGGCTTTCCACTTTCTTTCTTTTTTCTTTTTTTAAAGATGCGGTTTCACCATGATGGTCAGGCTGGTCTTGAACTCCTGACCTCAGGTGATCCACCCACCTCAGCCTCCCAAAGTGCTAGGATTATAGGCATGAGCCACTGCACCCGGCTCTTTTTTTTTTTTTTTTTTTTTTTTGAGACGAAGTCTCACTCTGTTACCCAGGCGGGAATGCAGTGGCGTGATCTCGGCTCACTGCAACCTCTGCCTCCCAGGTTCAAGGGATTCTCCTGCCTCAGCCTCCCAAGTAGCTGAAATTACAGGCACCTGCCACCATGCCCAGCTAATTTTTTGTATTTTTAGTAGAGAGGGGGTTTCACTATGTTGACCAGGCTGATGTCAAACTCCTGACCTCATGATCTGCCTGCCTCAGCCTCCCAAAACGCTGGAATTACGGCGTGAGCTACTGCGCTTGGCTAGAGATGGGGTTTTGCCATGATGCCAGGCTGGTCTCCCAACTCCTGGCCTCAAGTGATCCGCCTGTCTGGGCCTCCCAAAGTACTGGGATCACAGGCTTGATGTTCCTTCCCGCCACCCAGTACTGGATTCCTTAAAAAAAATTCTGAGATGGCCGGGCGCGGTGGCTCAAGCCTGTAATCCCAGCACTTTGGGAGGCCGAGGCGGGTGGATCACGAGGTCAAGAGATCGAGACCATCCTGGTCAACATGGTGAAACCCTGTCTCTACTAAAAAAATACAAAAAATTAGCTGGGCATGGTAGCACGTGCCTGTAATCCCAGCTACTAAGGAGGCTGAGGCAGGAGAATTGCCTGAACCCAGGAGGCGGAGGTTGCGGTGAGACGAGATCACGCCATTGCACTCCAGCCTGGGTAACCAGAGCGAAACTCTGTCTCAAAAAAAAACAAAAAAAAAAAATTCTGAGATGAGCAGTGTGGTAAATGCTTATGGTCTCAGGAATGGCATTAAAAGATAATAATGTGGCCGGGAACAGCGACTCACACATTTAATCCCAGCACTTTGGTAGGCCAAGGCAGGTGAATCACTTGAGTCCAGGAGTTCGAGACCACCCTGGGCAACATAGTGAAACTCCATCTCTACAAAAAATACAAAAATTAGCTGGGTATGGTGGCAAGTGCCTGTAGTCCGCTACTCAGGAGGCTGAGGCAGGAGAATCACTTGAATCCAGGGAGGTAGTGGACTCAAGTCCACTGCACTCCAACCTGGGCGACAGGTTGAGTGAGATTCTGTCTCAAAATAATAAGTGGCCAGGTGCAGTGGCTCATGCCTGTAATCCCAGCACTTTGGGAGGCCAAGGCGGGTGGACTACTTAAGGTCAGGAGTTTGAGACCAGGCTGGCCAACACGGTAAAACCCCATCTATAACAAAAAAAAATACCAAAAAATTAGCCAGGTGTGATGGTGTGTGCCTATAATCCCAGTTACTATGGAGGCTAAGGTGAGAGAATCACTTGAACCTGGGAGGCGGAGGTTGCAGTGAGCTGAGATCATGCCACTGCACCACAGCGCAGGCGACAGAGCAAGATATAGTCTCTAAAGAAAAAGAAAAAAATGAAAATAATGATAACAGGGTTTGTTTTCTGATTACCGATGCAGTACGTTAGTCCCCTTGCTCACCCAAGGTTTCGCTTTCTGCAGTTTCAATTACCCGTGGTCATCTAAGTTTCAAAAATATTAAGACATTTAAGATACAGACAGACCACGCTGATGTAACTTTATTACAGCACATTGTTATAATTGTTCTACTTATTTATTGTTGTTAATCCCCTACTGTGCCTGACTTATGAATTCACCTTTATCACAGGTGTGTATGTATAAGAGAAACAGAGCAGGACTGGGTATGCTGGCTCACACCTGTAATCCCAGGACTTTGGGAGGCCAAGGTGTGTGGATCACCTGAGGTTGGGCGTTTGAGACCAGCCTAACCAACACAGACATACCCCGTCTCTACTAAAAATACAAAATTAGCAGGGCATGGTGGTGCACACCTGTAGTCCCAGCTGCTTGGGAGGCTGAGGCAGGAGAATCACTTGAACCCAGGAGGTGGAGGTTGCAGTGAGTCGAGATCGCACCATTGCACTCTAGCCTGAGTGACAGAGTGAGACTCCGTCTTGAAAAAGAAAAAGAAAAAACAGAGCATATATAGGGTTCAGTAGTGTCGCTTAGGTCTCAGGCATCCACTGGGGCTCTTGGAAAGTATCCCCTGAAGATAAGGAGGACTACTGTATTTGTTCCCTGTCAATAACCAAGGAAATGTGGAAAAGCATAGAGATGAGTAAAAATCTTCCCCCTTCAGGGAAAACCCTTTCTCCGCTGGATAACTAAAAACCTGATCTCCTGGGTGTTGTGAGAACTATCAGAGGGAGGTGGCCTTCAGTCACCTTAAGCAAGGCTTGACATTGTCCAGGGGCCCAGCAGGAGATATTGCCAGTGCCCACCCTCCCCAGGGCAAACAGCCCCTTCCACTCTCTCCTGGGGCTTCCTGGCCCCACCTGGGGTTACAGCCTTGAAGACACACACTGAAAGCCACAGCCTGCAGCTGCTTGGGTCATGTGCTTCAGGGGATACCAAGCCACAGGGCTCAGCCCTCCTCAGAACCATCTGGGTCACCCCGAGAGCCCTATGTGAGCCATGTGATTCAGTGGATCACATGCCGAGCCGCAGACATTTGACTCCATGCCACATGTCATCACTCCCAGGAAGTCAGCAAAAAACTCAGGGGGACCGTGATGTGGCGGGCCCAGGGAAGGGCAAAGGAGACCCTCACTCTGAGATACCCACACCTGTTAAAACAGGATGAGGTGGGAGGATCGGGTTGATTGATCTCCGGAGTTCAAGGCTGCAAGGAGCTCTAATCATGTTACTGCACACCAGCTTGGGCAACAGAGGGAGACCTGGCCTCTTTAACAAAAGGAAAAAGTCAGTATTAAATACTAGTGTCAGGTAACTGTAAGTAACTAAAACTACTATTTTCACTTTAAACATGAAGTAAAATCACATAAAATTAAATTAAAAATTAAGCCTACAAAATTTAAATTAATTAAACATTAATACTCATTAATCTAATTGAATAAATGAAAATCTGCAAAAACGAACAAAAAAAAAAAAACCCTTACCCACGCTGGCACTCTGTAAATTCTCAATAAGACAATCATAAGTAAGCCAAGGCACAATAAAATCAGGAAGTTATTATTTATTTATTTATTTTTGCTGCTGTTGTTTGAGACAGACTCTTGCACTGTTGCCCAGGCTGGAGGGCCATGGAGTGGTCTTGGCTGACTGCAACCTCCGCCTCCCAGGCTCACGCAGTTCTCCTGCCTCAGCCTCCCAAGTAGCTGGGACTACAGGTGCACACCACCACACCTAGCTAACTTTTTGTATTTTTAGTAGAGACAGAGTTTCACTATGTTGGCCAAATTTGTCTCAAACTCCTGACCTCATGATCCACCTGCCTCGGCCTCCCAAAGTGCTGAGATTATAGGCATAAGCCATCATGCCCAGCGTTATTTATTTTTTTAAAGACTGGGTCTCACCCTGTTGCCCAGACTGGAGTGCAGTGGCACAATCTTGGCTCACAGAAACCTCTGCCTCCCAGGCTCAAGCAATTCTCCTGCCTCAGCCTCCCGAGTAGCTGGGAACCGCCGGCTAATTTTTGTGTGTATATATATATATATATATATTTTTTTTTTTTTTTTAAGTAGAGGCAGGGTTTCACCATGTTGGCCAGGTTGGTCTCCAACTCCTGACCTCAAATGATCCACCTGCCTTGATCCCGAAGTGCTGGGATTATAGGCGTGAACCACTGCACCTGGCCTAGAAAGTGTATTTGAGCAAACAATGATTGATGAATCAGGCAGGTCCAAACCAGAAGTGGTTCAGGAGCTCCACTGAGAGAATGCAGCTGGGATGGACACAGAAGTGAAGCCAAGATGAAGGCTGCAGCGAGCTGAGATCGCCCCATTGCACTCCAGCCTGGGCAGAAGAGCGAGACTGTCTCAAAAAAAAAAAAAGAAAAAAGTAAAGCCAAGCAAATATTTGATGTGGCAGGCCACAGTGGCTCATGACTGTAATCTCAGCACTTTGGGGGCTGAGGCAGGAGGGTCACTTGGACCCAGGGGTTCAAGACCAGCCTTGGCAGTATGGCAAAACCCCATCTCTACAAAAAATACACAAAATTAGTTGGGTGTGCTGTTGTGGGCCTGTGGTCTTAGCTACTTGGGAGGCTGAGGTGGGAAGATCCCCTGAGCCCAGGAGGTTGAGGCTACAGGGAACCGTGAATATGTCTCCAAAATAAACAAATAGGCCCAACACAGTGGCTCATGCCTGTAATCCCAGCACTTTGGGAGGCTGTGGTGGGTGGATCACTTAAGGTCAGGATTTAGAGACCAGCCTGGGCAACATGGTGAAACCCCATCTCTACTAAAAGTACAAAAATCAACCAGGCATGATGGAGAGCGCCTATAATCTCAGCTACTTGGGAGGCTGAGGAGGGAGAATTGCTTGAACCCAGGAGGCTGAGCTGAGATGGTGCCACTGCACTCCAGCCTGGACAACAGAGCGATACTCCATCTAGATAGATAGATAGATAGACAGACAGACAGACAGACAGACAGACAGACAGATAGATAGATAGATAGATAGATGGACAGATAGATAGAATAGGGCCTACAGTTCTTCAGAGAGCACCCTAGTCCAATGGCCTCCTTTTACAGGAAGAGAAACTGTCTGTGAAGTTTCTCTTTACAGGAAGAGGCCCAGAGGGATCAAGAGGCTCCTCCAAGGTCGCTTAGCAA